AAGCATCTTTTCATATGATCAGTGGCATTTGTATTTCTTTTTGTGCTCAGTTTATTTTTGTATTGGAGTATTGTCTTTTTCTTACTGATTTATAAGGGGAGGTTAAGTAAATAGATTTTTTTTTTTTAGAATAGTAATCTGATGACCTGTGTGTTGCATATTTGTTTACCAGTCTAATATTTGTCTTTCAAGTATATTGAGTCTTTTGCTATATAGAAAATTTTGATTTTTAAGTAGTCATGTCTGTCGGTCTTTTCACTTAAGATTTCTAAATGCTGTAACATGGTTAAAGGCCTTTCTCATTCCCAAATTATAAAAATATTATTGTATTTCTTTCTCTCAAACTTTTATGGTTTTAATTTTATGTTCAAATATTTGATTTTTCTGGAATTTATATTTGTTCAAGATGAAAAATTGAAACCTAAAATTTCTTTAATTCAAATGGACAATCTTTTGTCCCAACATCATTTCTTAAATAACCTCCCCTTTCCCACATTGTTTTAAAATACTACCTTTACCATTTACAGAATTTTCATATATAAATGAAGTAACTTCTGGACTTTAATTTCTGTTTTGTCAATTACTTTATCTGCTTCTTGGTCAATACCACATTATTTCAATTACTGTAACTTTGTAATAATTTTGAAATCTGGTAGGCTAAAGTTCTCCTCTTCCCAATTATTCTTTTTTTTTCCCCAAAAATTTCTTGGTTGTTTTCTGCCTTTACTCTTCCAGATATACTTTAGAATCAATTTGTCAGATATATTAAGTTCCCTCTAAATTCTTTTGGTATTAGTTGGCATGACAGTTCTGGCTTTAAATCTTTTCTTTTTATTTTGACCGAAGTTTTATAGTCTCAATTTTTCCTTTAGTGTTGGATTTAAAGTTAGGGTCAATCTGTTTCCTAACCTTAATTATCTTTTTTTAGTGTTTCTTGCTTCACTGTTTTTTTGGCAAGTTTTTTACCTTTGCTTCTAGCATAGTGTTGCAGAGATGATCTCATCGTAAACATTCAGCACCATTAAGGTCATTTTTAAAAACTAGCATCTGAGGCCGGGCGCGGTGGCTCACGCCTGTAATCCTAGCACTCTGGGAGGCCGAGGCAGGCAGATTGTTTGAGCTCAGGAGTTCGAAACCAGCCTGAGCAAGAGCAAGACCCCGTCTCTACTAAAATTAGAAAGAAATTAATCAGACAACTAAAAATATAGAGAAAAAATTAGCCGGGCATGGTGGCACATGCCTGTAGTCCCAGCTACTTGGGAGGCTGAGGCAGGAGGATCGCTTGAGCCCAGGAGTTTGAGGTTGCTGTGAGCTAGGCTGACGGCACGCATTCTAGCCCGGGCAAAAGAGTGAGACTCTGTCTCAAAAAAAAAAAAAAAAAAACTAGCATCTGAAAGCCAGGCTTCTTCAGGACAGTGTTCTTCCTTACATGGATCTTGGGGTTGAGTTTTGTGGCACATTCTATCAATTACATAGCTACTGTCGAGATAATTATTTTCCATTTAAGTGGATTCTTAAACAGATAATAACCATATGTGGGGACTTTTGATAGTAACCTCGATCTTTAGCAATTGATAAGGTATGCATTTTGTGTTTAAAAAAATCAGTTGCACAGTTACAAGGTAGAGAAACTTTATTTGGTAATACCAGTTATTCAGTCATGTCCGAAACACAAAATAAACAAAGGACGTGATGTTTAAATTGATTTCAAACTCAGTGTAAGTTATGATCCTCATTGAAAAAATAACAAAGGTTGCAATTTTTGATATTAATTGCATTACGGGTAGGTTAGGAAAGGTAATAACCATAATCTACGCCGATCAAATAATTTTTAGAGTTTGTGCACCTATTTTGTGCTAAGGACAAACTAAGTGCTAGGATGCAAAGCTGAGAGACATAGCCCACTTATGATAGAACTACAAGCAAATAATAACTGGTTTTATGGGAAGCCAGACAAGGGATATCAAGGACCTAGACCACGGAGGCTGGAGACAGCTTTTAAGGAGATGACACACAGAGCAGAGGCTTTGGTGGTAGAACTGTGGGCTTCACTAGCTATGGGACCTTGCACAATTTATTTAACCTCAGTCTGAATTTCTTCATGTGTAAAACTGAGTCAGTAATAATCTATTTCACACTGTTGTCCTAAGCTTAATGAGATTTTATATATATATATGCATATATATATGGGAAGTCTCTGGAACAGACTCTGGCAGATAATAATCATGCAGAAAACGATGTGGTGTACATCCATTTCAAAATGCTAATGCATAGTTGTTGGCTCAGCAAGACGGGCCCTCTGAGCAGAAGGAAAGGTGTAGGCCAAAGCGGGCGGGTGAAAGGGGGGCTCTCTGGAAGTGCAGAGTGTTTAATCTGCTTGGAGTGCAGAGTGCATGTGGAGGGAGCAGCTGAAGATGAAGCTGGGAAGGGAAGCAGGGGTGAGATCTTCAAACCAGAGCTTGTGTGCCAGATTGAGGAGGCTGGGAGGCATCTAGGAAGTATTATGGAGTCTTTGAAGGCCTTAATTAGGGAAGTGTCCAGAAGAATTTTGTCAGTTGAAAGACCGGTTTGTTATAGGTGTGTGGAGTGGCTAGATAAGCCATTGAAGGTTGGATATCCAGTGAGAGCAGTGGTGCTCAGCCCTGGCTGCACGTTGGAACTGTCTGGAAAGCTTTTAGCAGTCTCATGCCCAAGTTCACCAAAAATCAGTTATATCATCAGCTCTGGGGGTGGAACTTAGGCATTGGTATTATTGCTTGCCAGGTGATTCCACTGCAGTCAGTATTGTGAACGACTGAGTTAGAGGGTAACTGGATTCAAACCAGATATGATAAAGTTCTAAATTAAAGTGCCAGTGGCATAAAGGAACCGGGATAAGAAGATAACAAGTAGAATATGGTGATCAGTTGGATGAGAAAGGAGATTAAGTGAAGATTATTTCTAGATTGGGTCACTGGGTAGATGATGATAATATACTAAGGCTCGGTTATTTATCAAGAGTGAGAACATGAAGGCAGAGCAGATTTGGGTACTAGATGCTGCTGAGTGGGATGAGAAAGATAAAGAATTTGATTTTAAAATGTGCAATTTGAGAAAGAATGATCTATAAATGCCAAATGGACAGAGAGAAACCAAAGGGAAGGAGCCAATAGGATAGTTGAAAAAATTAAGGAGACAATAAATAATTGATGGGTGAGATTCCTAAGGAGACAGAAAGCACAGAACAGAGATGAAAGAAGTAATTTATATGAGAATGAAGGACATTTCCATTCAGGGAGAAATAAGTAAAAATATGTGAATGTGCAGATAAATTCACAGGTTAAGGAGGATGAGATACAATTTTGCCCGATGGCCTGATTCCTTACTGCAGGAGATATGGGTATCTGCTGAGAACTAAGAGGTAAGAGAAGAGAGTTAAGGAGTGTAGTAGTCAAGCTTTGGAAGAGTAAGGACCCGGGCCATCCGAGAAGGGAGTCTGAGAAGGAGATGTTATTCTAGTCCTGTTCTTAAGTGTTGGTTTTCCCCAGGGTTTCAGCATTGGCCCTCTTTCACACACTTCCTGGGTGATATCCTTTGTTATATTTCATTACACTGTTACCTTCTGAGAGAAACATTGCCAAGCTAAAGTTTGTCTAGAGGGGTTAAGTAGTTGATATTATAGTTCAGAAAATAACTAGCTGACTTTTCCTTTTGAGGGGATTCTTTTCGGTAGCACCTTCCTATGTTAATTTGAAACTTAGAGTGTTGAAATCACTTGAAAACTCTGTACAGATCTCTAACATCTGTTACTAGTTGGCATCATGTTTTTTCTCTAATATTATAAAACTCCAAAGCACTACCAATTTGACATTTTGAAAATATATTAAATTTTAATGTGAACATTTTATGCTATCAAGAAATTTGAATATTTTACTTTTCACTGTCATACTTCATACGTTATTTGTTCTATGATGTCTATTAAAGATCTATTTCTCAACTCCTATATAAACTATGATTTGCATTACATATTTTCTAAATATATTTTTCTGTAAAAGACCAACTAAAAGTTTAGTAATTTTCAAATAGACTAGAACTATTTATTTTATAGATTTCCTATAAAATATAAATAAGATTAGTTATTCAGCAGAACTGATTGTATTCACAACAACAAAGCAATTGTTAGTATGGGTTTTCAGTAGGGCCTCTTAGTTATAATATACTTCTGAAGATAGTTATAAATCACTACAGCACAATGAGTTGGACTGTGGGTGTGTACAGATAGAAGGTGGCCTTGATATTACAGAACACTAACTTAATTTTTTTTTATCGTTTCAGGTAACATTTCATTTGTTACATTTCCAGTTTCCAGCACCAACTCACCAACAAAGATTTTACCAAAAACCTTAGGACCAATAAATGTGAATGTTGGACCCCAAATGGTAAGAAAATCACCAAATCTCAGAATTGAAACTGGTTGGCCAAGGCTAATTTAAAGAATAATTGTACAAAAGATGTTTGATCAAATATTCCAGTTAATTGCAGTTATCTCAGTCATTTTTTTTTTAAAGTTTAGCTTTTACCTGAATGTAACTAAGTCTTAAGAAAAAGAAAGGCATCGTGTTCTTTAATGTTCAATTTTTGTGCGTTTGAATCTGTGCATTATGGATGTATAATGTGAAGGTTTTTGCTATGTGAGGCTTCTCTTGTATTTAGTTGTTTAAACTGATTTGAAATCTATTATGCCTTTATGTTGTCCTCCTTTTTTCTTTTTCTTATAAAATAAACTTTATTGCCCTCAATTATGTATAAATTGCATTCATATAAATTGAATGTATAACCTAACAGTTAATCTGTATCTGGAGCTTATTAATTTAAAACTCTTTTCATTAAAGGACATTTGAGGAAAAAACAATATACCAATTTATTTTAATCTCTGTCAGTAGAAATAATGAATGAAAATAGAAAATATTTAACAGTTTCTCTAAAGGCATTCGTTAATTATGCTAGAGCTTGAAGTGCATAGCACTTTCAGAAAGACTTATTTATAAACAAGATTGTGTTTGACTACTCTAACACTATACCTAATTTAAATGGCCTACCCACTGTTAGCAAAAACACTTAAACATTTAAACAATAACTTTTCGTTATTAGTGTTTACATCTTCTCATCTATAGCAATAAGGATAAATTTTGCCCATAATTACAGCACTGTGGACCATGTTAAGTGCAAAGTTATTTAGACAAAAATATCTTTTAGCATACTTAATGGTTTCAGAAAGTCTTTAAGACACATTCTAAACATGACATTTTCTTTGGTCAGTTGAGGACTATTAATCATCTGCAGAATTCAAGCTAAAGATACAACATAATTTACTGGTAAAGTATGTGAAGAATGTAATCTAGCTCCAAACCTCATAGAGACTTAAGCTCAAATAAGTGTTCCCATTTCAAGGTAGCCCAGGGTATATTTTCAAACATTTGCTAAACATTTGCCCCTCCCCAGCCACTACAGTAGAGGCAAATGAGATAAGGAACCTTCCTTTAAAGTCTGTATTTTGAAATGTGATTATATAAGCACCAAAATTAAACACACTCAAACTTTTATGAGTCTGGCCTTTACAGCACTCCTCTATTTTGAGAGACTATTTTTTTCTCGGTATTTTAGTTGATGCTGCTATGGCTCAAATTTGAATTCCTGTTTTGGAAATTTATATAATTTTTCTTCCCATTGTCAATTTGAACTGATGTGCATGTAATCCCTTACACAGTTCAGTTCTGACCACAATCAGTAGTCATGTGTTGTACTAACCCAGTTAATGTAAATCTCAGGATCAGCATAACAAAGGTCAGAAGGGGAGGAGATTTGAGGCTCTCCTTTAACCTGGGCCAGCCCAAGGCCTTAATTTATCTCCCTGCTTCTGAGGTGCTTTTTTTCAGTTCTGAGTTCTTGGGCAGGAATCAGAATTTTCTTTTGGTTTCCTAATTGTTGTACAACCCCATTGCTGTGATCTGAACATGTCCCTTCAGAATTCAGGTTGAAGCTTAATCCCCATTGTGGCAATTCTAAGAGTTGGGGCCTTTTAGGAAGTGATCAAGTCCTAAGGGCTTTGCTGTCATGAACGGGATTAGTGAATTTATAAAAGCAGTTGAAGGGAGTTCTCAGTCACTCTTCTGCCATGTGAGGACGATGCAGGAAGGTGCCATCTAGAAAGCGGAGAGTGAGCCCTCACCAGACACTGAATTTGCTGGTGCCTTGATCTCGGACTTCTAGCCTCCAGACCTGTGAGAAATAATTTCTATTACTTATAAATTACATAGCCCAAGGTATTTTATTGTAGCAGACTAAGACAGAAATTAGGATCAAAAAGTGGGGTGCTGCTGTAACAAATACCTAAAATTGTGAAAACACCTTTGGAACTGGGTAATGGGCAGAGGCTAGAAGAATTTGGAGGAACAGGCTAGAAAAACCCTATGTTACCGTGAAAGGACCATAAACGGTGATTCTGGTGAGGGATCAAGAGGAGAGCTGTAGAGGAAGCCTGAATCTTCTTAGAGATTACTAAGTGGTCATGATCAGAATGCTGGTACAAGTATGGTTGGTAAAGGCTATTCTGATGAGGTCTCCGACAGAAATGAGGAACATGTTATTGGAAACTGGAGGAAAGGCCATCCTTGTTACAAAGTGGCAAAGAACTTGCCTGAATTGGGTTGATGTCCTGGTGTTTTGTGAAAGGAGGGACTTAGGAGCCATGAAATAGTGTGTCTGGTAGAAGAAATCCCCAAGGAAACTGTTGAAGGTGCAACATCGCTTCTCTTGACTACTTTTAGTAGAATGTGAGAAGAGAGAAATGAATTAAAGATGAAATTTATAATCAAAAAGGAAGCAGAGGCCCAGAGAGGTGGCTCACACCTATAAACCAGGCACTTTGAACCTAGCACTTAGGGAGGTAGAGAAGGGAGGATTACTTGAGCCCAGGAGTTTGAGATTGCTGTGAGCTAGGCTGATGCCACGGCACTCTAGCCTGGGCGACAGAGCAAGACTGTCTCAAAAAAAAAAAAAAGAATGAAAAAGCACATACTGGAGAGAACATCAAGGGTGTGGCCAAGTGCCTTTTTGATAAGGAGATTAGTATGGATTGGTGGAATCCTGGTGCTGTTCATCAAAACAATGGAAGAATGAACCTGAAGGCATTTTTCAGTGCTGCCCCTTTCATCACGGGATCGTGACTATGCCTGGGAGACCGAACTATGTCAATAGTGGGGCTTTGGGTGCTTATGGGATCTTGTCTGCCTAGCACTGCCTCAAATCTCTGCTCCCTGAATTCTAGCACGCAGTGCTCCTCAGCCATTCCAAGTGTGGCTCCAACTGCTCTTTCAGAGGGCACAGGCAGTAAACCTTGGCAGTGTCCAAGTGGTGCCATCTCCACCAGGGTGCACAGTGCACGAGCTGTGGGGGCATGGCTACTCCTACCTTGATTTCAGAGGTTACCCTAGAGAGCCTTGGGGTCCAGGCAGAGAACTGCTACAGGGCAGGGCCACCATAGGGAGCCCCAACTAAGACAATGCCTAATGGAGCCATGAGGGGTAGGGCTACCCCCTGAGGCCTCAGAATGGTAGAGCTACCAGCATGTAACTCCAACCTGGGAGAGCCACATGCAGAAGACTCCAACCTGTGTGAACTGTAGCATGCGCTGCCCCTAACAAAGCCATATCTGATTCAGGTGATACTCTGGACTTTATTGATGCTGGAATGTGTTAAGACTTATGAGCTATTGGAATGGAGTGAATGTGTTTTGCATGTGAAACAGACATAAATTTCGGGGAGGGGGCAGGGGTTTAATGCCAATACTTAATCTGAATATGTCCCTCCAAAATTCATGTTGAAACCTAATCTCCAATGGCTGATATTAAGAGGTGGGGCTGCTGGGCTCTTGCCTGTAATCCCAGCTACTTGGGAGGCCAAGGCAGGAGGATCACTCAGCCCGGGAGTAGGCAACACAGGGAGACCTTGTCTCCAAAAAGAACAAAGGAGGTGGGGCCTTTTGAGGCACGTGATTAAGTCATGAGGACTTCACCCTCATGAATAGGATTAGTGCCCTAATAAAAGAGGTTGAAGGGGGCTCTCCAGTCTCTTTCTGCCATGTTAGGATACAGCAAGAAGGCACCATCTTTGAAGCAGAGAACAAGCCCTCAGCAGGCACTGAATCTGCTGGTACCTTGATTTTGGGCTTCCCAGTAGTCTCCAGAACAGTGAGCAGTAAGTTTCTGCTGGTTATGAATTACTCTAAGATATTTTGTTATTGTAGCCTGAATGGACTATTACACCCAATTAGAGCCATTTCTTGCTTCTCCACTTCTCTTTTGAACATTGTCCTCTCACCTTCAATCCCTCATTCATGATTTTTAAAAGTTTTTGTTAGAGAGTATTAGAAAATTCTTGGATAAAAATCTCACCTATCTGTTTCTTACGGTCTTCATTTTCTACTTGCACTTTGAACTTTACATGTCTCTTGGAAGCCAAATCTTCATGGCAGATAGAAATTTCAAGAGGCTTCATGAAAAAAGTTTTCATTTGTTTTCTGTGGTTATAGAAACTAGTTCAGCAGTAATTGTTTTAGGGTGGGATACTTGCCCATTTCTTACAAGTTATTTTATGGTTATATAGGTTATCTTATAGGTTATCATATATAGATATATAGCCTATTATTGTATATGCAGTTGACTCTTGAACAATGCAGGGTTAGGGGCACCAAGCCCCCATGCAATTGAAAATCCACGTATAGCGGTTTTTTTGAGATTTTAGAGTCATACTCTGCTGCCCTAGGTAGAGTGCAGTGGCATCATCACAGCTCACTGCAACCTCAAACTTACGGGCTCAAGTGATCCTCCAGTTTCAGACTCCCAAGTAGCTGGGATATAGGCGCACGCCACCACACTCAGCAAAATTTTTTTTTTTTTTGTAGAGACAGGGTCTCGCTGTTGCCCAGGTTGGTCTTGAACTCCTGGGCTCAAGTGATCCTCCTGCTTCAGCCTCCCAAAGTGCTAGGATTACAGGCATGAGCCACACCCAGCCCATGTATAACTTTTGACTCCCCAAAGCCTTAACTACTAATAACTTACTGTTGATCAGCACCTTAGTGATAACGATAAATACGTTTTGTATATTACATGTATTATATACTGTATTCTTACGACAAAGTAAGATAGAGAAAAGAAAATGTTATTAATAAAATCACAGGGAAGAGAAAATATATTTAGTATTCATTAAGTGGAAGTGGATCATCATAAGCGTCTTCATCTTCATCATCTTCACACTGAAGTAGGCTGAGGAAGAAGAGGAAGAAGAGGAATTGTTTTTGCCATCTCCGGTGGCAGAGGTGGAAGAAAATCCATGTATATAGGCAGAGCCATGCAGTTCAAACCCTCGTTGTTCAAGGGTC